GTAAAGTTGGTTGAGAGAAAGGTAGAATGACGAATTAATTTAAACGGGAGAAAAAGGGATTCATAGACGGCACGGGATCAAAATGTCTGTCGAATCATGATATTGCTAGTGTATGTGTTGTTTAAGATTGAGTATATCTCATAATCAAGAATGGTAAAGTAATTTCAATCATATAACTCAAAATTCTTCCCTCGAACTCCCATCACCAAATCAACTCCAGAATAACGCCCTCGCTTGATGGGGTCAATGATGGCTCATGCCAAAAATGCATGTGTGCAAATGCAAAAGAAACAAAAAGCGGACACGCAAAATGCAGAACTCAGATGGCACATCCTGCCTTCTCATAGGGAAATCCAAACACCGCTTTGAAGAAAAAGCGGAAGATGTCTTCTATACCAAAACGCCATTGCGCATGCTCTGAACACTCTTCATCCCCACTCCCTTCAACTTGCTCAACTCTGCGAGACTGTGGATGTGCACTTGAGCTGCTGCGGCTTGCTCTTGCTCCAGCTCCGGGCTCTCGACATGCTGATCCATCTCGCAGAGACAGTCGACGATGGCCTCGGCCTTTTTGACCCCCACGCCTTTCAGGAGCTTGATCTGACTCACATCACGGGAGTTGATGATTGAGAGGAGGTGGATGGTTCGTGGGGATGGAGGCTCGAATTCTTCGGCCATATCGATGGGCGTTTTCGTGCGGGTGCGCTTCCGCCGACGGGCATGGGCGATTTCTTCGAGGTCGACCTCGATTTCCTCGATCTCTTCGTCTTGATTCACTACTTGCTGGGTATCTTCGTCGTCGACAGGCTCGTAGTCTGCGTCAGAGTCCTCTGCGTTGGTGCGTTTGAGAGTTGCTTTGGCGGCGGGTTGCTTCTTGAGGGACAGCATGCTTCCGAAGTCGCGCTTGCTGGGGTGAGAATTAACGGCGCTGCTAATCGTGTCGACAGCTGGGGTTTCCGTGTGGGATTTGCCGTGGATGCGTTCCTTGAGGTTGGCAATCTTCCGAGCTAGCTTCTCGTTGTTGGGAAAGAATGGAAGTGCCAACTGATACATCTTGAGAGCGAAATTGTCCTCACCACGACCTTGGTGCTGTTTGGCCATGAGAAGGTATGATAGACCCTCTGCTCGCGCATCTTCTGATCCCTCAATCCGTTGCTCGAGAAGCTCCAAGCGGCGTTGCACTTGCTCATTGAGCTCGCGAACTTGCGTTTGCCGTGACTGCTCGCTGACCGCTCGCACAGCGAGAATTTCCTCGACTTTTCTCTCAACCATCTCCTCAATCCTCGCGGCTGAGAAGTCCTCGAATTGCTTCGGGGGCTGCTGGTGAGTCGGTTGTGCGAGACGCATGGGCTGTTTCGTGATTCGAGCAGTGGTATCGGCGCTGAGAGATGTGCGCTTCGGCAAATCGGGCTTCTTGAGCTGGGTGGAGTAGCGCGGTTGTGACTTGTCGGAGTAGACGTGAAATGCTTTCAGGGGCTTTTCGCCAGGGTTTGCAGCGTCTTTGGCTGCCGTTGTGGTCAGATTTACATTGACGGATGCAGTCAGAGGGCGTAAGGGTTGGCGCAGCGTGCCCATGATTGAAGGCCGTGCCACCGGCCTGGGAGGTCCCTTGAAGATGGGTTCGTTCTCCACTTCGCGCACTTCAATCTTCTTCGTTCGGTTGGCGAAGTTAAGGGAGCTGATTGTATCCAGGTGATAGGATTTGACAGGGGCGAGGTTCAAGATCATGACCGTCAGCCCATTGTTCTGTCCCAAGGAGAGAATCCGAGTCATTTTCGATTCGCGGTATGGAATTCTGGAGTGCTTCTTGCTGATCGCTTCCACACACTGGGCGAGCACAAATAGACTCTTGTTGATACTGGCAGATTCGACCATGCGCTCCTTATCGTTGTCAGTCCGACGGTTGTCCTCCGAGCCGGCAAGATCAATGGCCGACGCAGTGCTGACGCAGGTTTTTTCGCCAGTGCTCACTGTTACGCGCACACAGAGGATGGCGTGAGAGCGTGATGAGTGGGCATTTAGCTGTAGCGAAGTGAGCAATTAAGCTTTCTAGTGAAAAGCATGGGAACACACCTTGGTGGCAGACGTCGATCTGTTGATGTTCGCCTGGTCATACAAGGTCTCAAATTCCTTGAGGTTGTGGCATGGTCTCTCCGTCAGGCCGACAACTACAGTCTTGCCTCCATTATCACGGAGGGGGAGGCCTGCCAATGTTCTCTTTTCTGGAGGCTCGAACAGATCGAAGACCTTGTCGTTGTAGATCTCGTAATAACTCAAAGAGACGTTGACTGTGGTTTCGCCACCGCTTTCCTTCTCCATTTTCCGGCTGCGCCTGTATATGCTGCTGAGGAGACGAGGAATGACGCCTCTGTCAACCAGGCTTTTGCCGCCTCGCATGGTGTGCGTCTTCCCTGTCCCCGTAACTCCGTATGCGAAAAGTGTGACATCGAAACCGTTGAAGAGGTGCTTGACGGTTGGTGCGACTGCGCATTGAATCAGACAGGCATATTCCATGACTTGGACTCCCAACACTCACCCTCGGCCTCATACAGCTCCTGCTGTGTGGCTTCCGCCTCGTAGACAGCATTGAACTGGAAAGAGTACTCTTCGCTCTCATTCTTTGGGTTCGGGATCCGTACTACAGTATCCCTATCCCTCAGTGTTGCCAATGCTCCTTTCTCTTGTGTGGTAGTCTTCTTGTCGGCACCGTGGGCAGACGGGCCAGTGCGAAGGATGACGTCTAAGTCGCGCTCCGACTTGAGCAGAGGTCGAATACGTGCGACGACCCGAACACTCATTGTGAATTATTGGTTATGTGCCAGCACAGCCAGAGTACACTGATTTCCAAACTCAAATATTGTATGGTACCAACAATTCGTGCTTATCCAGGTTGTTCGTGCCCTTTGAACTGACCTTGTCGACCAATTATGCTTCGAACCTTGAAGGCGTGGGTATTAAAGTCATTAAATATGAGTTGGGTGGGCGCAAGAACCGGGACTGTTGCTCAACGTCGCAATATTAGGTCGGTAGATTCCAGTATAACCAGTACAAAAGTTGCTTCGATTGACTCTCGTTGACAACAGCAAAACGCAGCAAACAAATTGATCGAACGTGAAGTTTGCACCCGGGCGTGCTCGTGGTGTTCGAAGGGCCGTTGATGACGAGATGAGCTCGCATTGGCGAAAGCGACAGGGATAGCCTCGTTGTGGTGCGACTGCCAGCGGTCAGCGCTGTTGGCACGGCAACCACACCCAGGTTCTCCCTGCCTGTTCCTCTTCCCGCCTGCACATGTGGGAACTACAACTGGTACTTGATTGAGGATATAATTATCTGCACCTAGTACTTGACACACTCCAATCCCAATGGTGTTCTTGAATTTGATACCTACTAGGTACCTAGTCACCCCTGTATGCCATTTCTGCCATAGATAGCCGATCGCAATATGCATCTGCCAACCATTGCGTTTAATATGTATATAGTATTCACATTAGAAAGACAGAACCCCTGGATACGAAGTAAGGCAGGGAGATGCCGAAAGTGACAAGCAGCAAAGGTCATTTATGTTTAGTAGACAAGTATACGGACTAATCCATCCATGGTAGCGATACCCCATGTCCAGGTGGAAATCTTTTTACCCACTAATGACTTCCCTGAGTTAGTATGAGATCATTCTGCCACACCACACAGCTTGCAGGAGACATCCACAGTTTTGCTGAATGTCGACCCTAATAATAATAATTATCACAGTAAGGTACAAACTGTAGAGCATCTCGAGAGTACGGGTTTTAGAGAGAATTTGCCCTCGAATTGGCATTGTAAGTATAACTACCTAAAAGGCAAGGTTGAACATGCTGTTGTAAAAGAGCAAGTCGGGCTCGGATGCGGTGAGGTGCTGATTGGCCGGTTGGCGGCAGCCGCAAAGGCCACCGTACACCATCCACTGTCCACTGCACTGATCACTGCACTACCAACTCGACTCTACCTACCTACCTAATTACGCTGTGCCTTTGACATTAACGCAACTAACCACCTATCTTCTCCTGGTTGCATTTCACCCTTTCTTGCTGGAGTCTCACCTCGACGTGTTCTCCTGCTTGACTCTCAGAGCCTCTCCAACCCGTGCGGTTTGGTGAATCTATCCCCGGTCATTGGTACCCAGTCGCTCTCCGTTCCCCTCCCTGAACTCTCCCACTTTGTTTCAAATTGGTGACTGACCACCGCCCCTAATACAGTGACCTTGCAACGATTCACAAACCATCCCGCACACCTCCCACTACAACCGCCTACAGCCATAAATCACAGCCGACCTCCATGGCAGCACCACAAGGGGGTTATCCGCCCCAAGAAGGGTACGGTCAGCCTGTCGGTTACGGAACTCCTGAGCAACAACAGCCCGCGGGGCAAGGGCAAGCTGGCGCACGAAAGAAGAGACAATATGCAGGCGAAGCCTTCGACTTTGGCTCCGGTGCCAATGCTGCCTTAGGAGGCCAGTTACCGGGCGGTGGTAGCTATGGAGCTTACCCGGCGCAAGCACCAGCTGCTGCGGGATACCAGCAACCGGCCTACGCAGACCCTACTCAGATGCACGCTGCTGCCCCGGCTTACGGGGCGCCCGCCTCCCCGCCAGTCGCACAGATGACCCAGCAGTTCGGTGCTATGGGAGCCACCGATCCACACTTGATGCCGCCGCAGCCCGTGGCTCAAGCCCCCCAGGCTCCGCGGGCAGTCCCTCTCAACCAGCTCTATCCTACCGACCTCCTCACTCAGCCGTTCAACGTTGCCGAACTCGACTACCCCCCGCCTCCTATCGTTCTGCCGCCGGGTGTAAGTGTCCATAGCCGGTTTCCTTATCGCGGACGGGAAACACTAAC